CATGCACATAAAACATGAATGCACATGAAATAAAAAAAAATTTTATATATAAAGAACAGGTAAAGGTGCTGAGATACTCAGGTGGTTTTTGTTACTTCTTGGAGTTTTCTAAAATGAACTTGTGTTTCTATGGCTAAAAGCCATTTAGTTTGTAAACGGGAGTCCTAGTGAGCACAGGGTCGTCATTTACCGAGTCTGTGGTGGAAGTGGGGTGTCCAGGCAATGGCCACATTACCGTCTACCTGTTGAGAGAGCAGGGCAGTTGCTAGGAGCCTGGAACTAACCGGCATCTGCCGAAGACTAAGCCCACGGGTGCTCCAATCATAGCTTGGTGCTTGTGGGCCGGGGGAGGTCTTCCTGTGTTCCCAGCCAGAGACTCTGCATCTAGCCTGTCACCTGGTGTAAAACTCCAGACAATCTCTCTCAGCACAGAGATGTGGTTCTCTATAAGATGATGACAAGCACCAGCGTTGTAGACTCAGGGAGCACCTGAGGCTCACAAGCATCTCCCCACACAGCAGCTTCTTCACTCCCCACCTCTCCTGCCAGCAAACACCCACCACACACTTTCCTGTTCCTCACCCAAGCCTGTGGCTGCTGTGGCCGCACGCTTGGGTTGCCTACGAGACCAGCCCTGGTGGAGTGTGGGGTACTGCAGGGACCACGCTCAGCCTCCAGTGTGGTCATCAGGCTACTCTAGTTCCCTATCAGGCCGACTTGACCTGACTCTCGTCTCCAGACTTGGATTCTGTCTCCTTTTGGGTGTGGCATCTGATCTACGAGCTTCCTTTGGGAGCTGGGCTTTGATCTTAGCACTGTGGGACTCAGCTGCTGCCATCCACCCCTTCTGCCCTCCCTGGGGCTGTTACACTTCACTCAGGGGTAGAGTGCTTCAGGGATGCTCTCTGCTCTGAGCACTTGCTGGAGTTTGGCCCTGTGTAGAAGAGTTTCTACCCTCAGCTTGGAATCTGCCTGTGTCGATCAGCTGCCAATGTTTATAGAGCGAATGCCCATGCCCCTATTCATCTGTCGGCCCTAGAGAAGCCTCTGCAGCCTTGTGCTGGGCAGCTCTTGTGGTATAATAAACAACCACAAGGAGTAAAGCTGTGTTTGTTTACAGTTTCAGACACTCCAGTCCAGGGCCAGATGGCAGTCATGAGGCAGAGAGAGCATGGGGGCAGAGGGTGGCTGTCGTGAGGCAGAGCATGATGGCAGAGGAAAGATGTGCCCACCTCATGGCAGCCAGGAAGCAGAGTCACAGGAAGAACCAGGGACAAGATGTATCTTTCTAGGGTGTGTCCTACCTCCCAATAAGGCCGTCATATGGAGACCTCATTCTACTCAGGAGAACAGAATCCTCAGGATCTAGTCACTCCCTAAGCTCCACCCCTGAACATCGCTGCATCAGAAACCAAGCCATCAACGCATGGGCTTTTGGAGGCTAGTTCACAGCAGACTGTACCGGTATCAGCAAGGCTGGACAGAGCCCAAGAGCCCTTGGAAAGACAAGGCCACATAGTATCCAGATGGCCTCAGCAAGGCCTGCAAGCCCAGGGATGATGTGCACGGGCATCTATTACATAAACAGTGAGATGACCCCAATAATTATGAGGCCGCATTGAGTGGATGGAGAAGACGCCACCAATCTAGGTTTCTCAAGGGACTTCAGACCCTAGGTGAGCATGCAGCCACCAGTGGGTGTCTGTGGACAGTCACTCCGGGGTCAGAAGAGGTCAGCTGCATCCAGCTCAAATTCATTTCAGATTACTGGGACTCTGAGGGGTCGATTCTACCCCGCAATTTGGTGTCTCCCCATAATCAGCATGTCCAAGGGTCACCAAGAGGCCATGAATGGCAGATACACCCTATTTTCCCTGATCATCTATGTAGACCTGCCTCAGCCCTGGAGGGTCAGCAGTGGCAACTGTGGCAGCAGGGAGTGGCTGTGGTGATGGAAACCACCAACTTGGGTAAAGGTGAAGTAGGGCGTGGGGGGGTTGAATGATGGGCCAACTCATTCTTCTAGAGAGAGAGGCCAGATTAGGCGAGCTACAAGGCCCCTGAGTTTTTCTGAGGGCTGAGATACGGCTTTTCAACGTCTTAGAACCAATTTGTAACTTTTTTGTTCTAAGGGAGATGCAGGAATGGTGTGTGACTGACTGGCTTCTCCGTTATGGAAAAGTGCTGTAGTGTGAAGCTACTGTCCACCCACCCCTCCAGTCAGAGCTGTGCCCAGCTCCAACCAGCAGCTTTACAGTGGGTCCTGCCAGGGTCAGGAGCCAACTACTCCCTGGTTGTGATGGGGGACAGGAGGCTGATGACAGAGCCTTGCTCTTAGAGGGAAACTTAGGAAGGAAGTTTGGGGGAGGTGGTGTGAACTATTTCCATCCAGCCATGCTTCTGAGGCTGTAACTTCATGTGGCCATTCAGAAAGTTACTGAGAATCCTTAACCTACCCCTTGGTGTTGCAAAATCATCCCTGAGTTCATAACTAATAGAAACAAATGCACGTATGTTCACAAAAGTCAGGCACAAGAATGGTAATAGGCTAGCACCTATTGTCCTAGAGGCTCACCTACATGGGATAAGTTAGTTTAGTCACGATGGAATGCTGTTCAGGAGTCAGTGTTTGACAGGACCCCCCCCCCCACTACACACACACACACACACACACACACACACACACACACGAACCTGTGTATAATCCCAGTGAGCATGCAAACTGTGTTATTAGGAGTCAGGATACTGACTGACCTGGGGGTGGACCATCTGCCCTGCAGGCCATCTCTATGTGGTTGACATGATATGCTCATGTTATACACTGGGTTTGTGAACATTTCTGTCCACACCTAGGAAGAATGGTGACTTTAGGAACAGCAGTGACCTGTTTGAAGCGAGCCTGGCACATGCTTGGCACTCAGACTGTGCCAACATAACAAAGCGCACATCCTCCTGCCCTAAGCAGAAGTAGAGGCAGGAGGATTAACAAGCCTCATGAACAGCACCACGGGGAGTGCTCCCTGGAGCACGGACAAGGTGAGAGCCAAACACTACTTCCCTTGAGTGTGTGTGTATGTGTGTGTGTGTGTGTGTGTGTGTGAGAAAGAGAGAGAGAGAGAGAGAGAGAGAGAGAGAGAGAGAGAGAGAGAGAGCACTTCAAAGAGGATTGCAGAGAAGCCTGGAGCACAGAGAGGACCTGGGTGCCCTGGGGAGGAGGGGACACGCACTTCCATGCTGGGGCAGCCCCAGGAGCTCATCTGTGCTCTGACCTTCCCTGGAGTGGTCCTGACCTACCCAGAAGGCCACACTGCAGGAGGCCTTTCTTGTGCTCTGGGCACAGCTGCAACTTTGGGAACCATTTTCCACAGACAGTGCTGGGTGGAAATACCGCTCTAAAAGGATCCCCAGGCTCTGAATTATTTATCCACTAAAGCATTCACCACGGATGAACTGGCTTTCCTCCGACAGCACCTCCTCCCCTCCTGGCAGCCATATTGGGCCACACCTTTGGAAAACATTTTCTCATACATCCCTGAGAGCTTTGCTATGGCTGGAGCTTTCCAGAGGACCCAACAGCCTTCCTTAGCTTTGGGGGGGGGGGGTTCTTGGGAAGAGGGGGGGGAATGGGGCAGAGCCTAGAGCCCAGGTCCTGGCTGGCAGCCCAGTGCTGTTCCTAATGGTGTCTCTGTAGCAGCACTTTCTCTGGCCCTCTGCCCTCAAGGTCTGAGCCTCACAGTTGTCAGGAGTTGTCTATAGAGGGGCTTCACCTGCCCAAACGCAAGCTATGGCCAGCACTGAGGTTTCTGGCCATGTGGCATGCCCTTGCCATCCGGGGTGCCAGTGTGGCTGAAGTACAGACCAGGGCCTGCCCTCCCAAAGGGTTAGCTTAAGGGTCTCCTGGCTAAGGGGCAGCAGTGGGACCTAGAAATGCAGTTGGGGGGTGGGTAGGGAGACGGCTCTGTGGGTAAGAGTTCACTATGCGAGTGTGAGGACCGGAGTCTGAATCCCCGGAACCTACAGAGAAGCTAGGCACAGCTGGAACCCCAGACAGAGGGACAGAGATGGGAGCATCCTGGGAGCTCTCAGCTTAGCCAATCAGTGGGCATCTGTTTCAGGAAAAGACCTGCCCTAAGCAATAAAGCGAGAACAACGGGGTACATGCACATCAGAAAATAAATGGATGGCACAGAGACAGACAGACGGCTGGGAGTCGGCCCTGAGCGGAGAACAGCCTGCTCCACCTCTGAGCTTGGCTTCACATCTCACACCTCCTGGAGAGGTCCTGCTCTGTCACAAGGTCCGCAGAGCCAGAGTCTGCTGCCTCTAGAGACTCCTTGAGATGAGTCTGTCCCCAACAACATTTGGAATTGGAACCTCAAGACATCACTTGGTGGAAACTCTGGTTAAGTGCTAGGAGAGGGGACAAGGATGGACTTCCAGATGCCAGGCTGGGGCCTCAGTGAGCCTGGCACTAAGAGGTGCCACATCTACTCCAGACGTGCCAGGAGGGCTCTTGAGACCCCTGCCCTACTGCTTCTGTGTGTCGGTTGGCTAAGGGACTTATCTCTGATCAGGGAGTCTCCACGCACTCCCCTCAGGTGAGAAAAACCACCCTGCAGCCTTTTCTGCAGGCAGAACATTTGCAGTTCTTGGGGGGTGCCCCTCCATGAGGGTGAGGTTCAAACCTCCAAGCCCGTTGATGCATGGCGGGAGCAGGCTTTGCACATCTGTTTCCCATGGGTTTGCTTAACTGACCATGAGAGCTGAACCAATCACATGGGCCGTCTGAATCTCTGGGCATGATGACCTGCATGGATGCTATACAATGATGTAAAGGTCCAGGACCCAGCATGTCCATACTCCTCTCTCCTTGGCCACCCTGACCTGGCCACAGGGGTATCTGGGTGTTGAGGCCCAAGTGGATGAAGCCTGTGATGGATCTGCTTGTCTGAACAGCATTCTGGTCCCTGACTTGACAGATTGACAGCCGGGGACTGGGAGGCATGTGGAACTCAAACACTGAGACGTTTATTGTTTTGAAGGGCAGGTCTCCTGCTCACATGAGTTTCACAAACACCAACAGGCATGGCTGCTTCCCAGACTGCTGCTCTTTCCAGGCCAAGCTTTGCTTTCCACAGCCAATTGCCCTCCCTCCCGACTCCCATGTTACTTACATGGAATGCCATTGGGTAAATGTTATTTTCTAAAGGGCTGGGCAGAATTCCGAGCAAAATGAAACCGGCCTGTCTGCTGGACTGATGTTACCACAGGGAGACCACACTGAGATGGGAGGGTGGGTACAAGGGCCCTCCTCAGGGCCTCTGTGCAGGGGTGCGGGAGGCAGAGGCTGAGCCGGTCCAGGAGGCCCCTCTGCCCCATGGAGTGCGGGGCTCTTCCAGGGAGGCCTCAGTCTTCAGCCACAGGCGGAGGTGCTAGCTGCAGCTGGAAGTTCTCGTTCTGGAAGACACTGTTGAAAGCAGGGCCGCTCTGGGAGCCCGCAAATGGCCGACAGCTGTCGCCGCTGCGGTTCTGGGAGAGTTCCGTAAGGAGAGCCAGCTGCGAAGAAGAGGACACGCGTGAGGTGTGTGTGGGGGGGGGCAGCGGTGGAGAGGGTCCTGTTCCTCTGCCTAAAGAGAGTGAGCGCTACCTTGTGGGGGAGTGAAAAAATTCAGTGTGGATCCCAGGAAAGGGGTGTGCCTCTGCACAAGAGGAGGCTGCTTGGGTGGGAGCGCTCCAGGCACAGTGGCGCCCCCTGTGCACAGCCTCCATGTAGACTGGCCATTCTCCACATCTCTCCCATAGGCTTCCTTTGGTACCTTTTCTTTGAGGTTCATGGCCCAGAATGATTACCACTGGCTTTTACCTCTCTCTACAGTAACCTGGACATCCGGCCACCAATTTGGTTTGGCCACCAAGTGGCACTCGTGGATCCCACCTCTCCTCCAAACACACCCTCCCTACTCATATCCACCAATGGCCTTGGCACTACCCCTGGTCCGCAAGTGGTTTAGTTCTGAAACACCAGCCAGGAGGAAACCTTCCTGCCAGCCCACTGAGATGCCAGGCTGTATACCTTGGTTGACTGAGATGCCAGGCTGTACACCTTGGTTGACTGAGATGCCAGACAGTACACCTTGGTTGACTGAGATGCCAGGCAGGACACCTTGGTTGACTGAGATGCCAAACAGTACACCTTGGTTGACTGAGATGCCAGGCTGTACACCTTGGTTGACTGAGATGCCAGGCAGTACACCTTGGTTGACTGAGATGCCAGGCTGTACACCTTGGTTGACTGAGATGCCAGGCTGTACACCTTGGTTGACTGAGATGCCAGGCAGGACACCTTGGTTGACTGAGATGCCAGGCAGTACACCTTGGTTGACTGAGATGCCAGGCTGTACACCTTGGTTGACTGAGATGCCAGGCTGTACACCTTGGTTGACTGAGATGCCAGGCAGTACACCTTGGTTGACTGAGATGCCAGGCAGGACACCTTGGTTGACTGAGATGCCAGGCAGTACACCTTGGTTGACTGAGATGCCAGGCAGGACACCTTGGTTGACTGAGATGCCAGGCTGTACACCTTGGTTGCCTCCTCTCACCTGGCTGGCTTTCTATAAGTAAGAGCCTGGCAGCCTGGCACTCAGAAGCCTTTGACGATCAGAGGAGATGAGGCCAGACCCAGGAGCTGAGACCTCCTGCCTGCTAAGCGGCAACACCTGGACTCTCCCACAGTGCTAGCCTGAAGGGAGACTCAGGGCCAGGATGCCAGCCTGGAACAGTGGATGGGGACTGGAGATGGAGCACAGTGCCCCAAGGCCACTCTTCTTGGGAAAGCTGCTGAGGCTTCACAGGATGAACACCTTTCTGTAGGGACTGCCCCAAGGGAGGCGAAGTAGTAAGTAAGCCTTCAAACTGCTCAGGGCGATTGTGTGCATCTGTCTCCTGGCATCAGACAGTCCCCAGGAATCTCTGCAATTGTCTCTAGGGCCAGGCAGGCTGGGTGCTTTTCATAGGTGACATTTCTAGTCCTTCACAGAACCCCAAGGAGTGACTCTCTGGGCCATCAAGCTATGAGTGAGAGGGTAGGATTCAAACTCAGATCCATGTGGCAATTTCTGTTCAGCCAAGCTGCCTGTGGTCTTGCCTTCTGGACGTTGCATTCCCATCACCTGCTCGCCTGCCCCAACTCCCAGCTGTTCTGGTCTCTCGCAAGGGGTCTCCCATCATACAAGCAATAACGGTACAGAGTTCGTGTTGCCATTTGGCTGACGACATAACCCCTGGCCGCAATACTTAGGGAGCCGAGTGGAGCTCTAAGCTCTAAGTACCAATATATCAAAGCAACTCAGTCCTCAGTCTGGGCTCAGCAGCTCACACTCACTGTCAATCAGCTTCAGCTGTCAACCTGACAACTGGTCATCTGGGAAGGGGGCCCCTCAACTGAAGGACGACCTCCATCAGACTGGCCTGTGGGCAGGTCCGTGGGGCCATTCTCTTAATTGTTAATCAATGTGTGTGGGGGTGTCTGGCCCACGGTAGCTGGTGTCCCCCCAGGCAGGTGGGCCTGGGCTAAAGAAGAAGGGTAGCTGAGGAAGCCAGAGAGCAAGCTGGTAAGCAGCGTTCCTCCAGGACCTCTGCTTCTGTTCCTGCCTCCGGGTTCCTGCCTGAGCTCCTGCCCTGCCTTCCCTTGATGATGGACTGCAACCCTGAGGCCGAAGTAAACGCTTTCCTCCCCAGGTGCTTTGGGTCACGGTGTTTTTCACAGCAGCTCAGCAACGAGAGCAGACCAGAACCCTCAGTCACTGCATGCTCACACCGTGGCTGTGAGCCTCCAGCCTGCGAGGTGGCCTGTGATGGCCACTGGCTCATGCACTGGACCAGGGGCCTAGGATGGAGGCTGGCTCATGCACTGGGCCAGGGCCTGTGATGGAGGCTGGCTCATGCACAGGGCCAGGGCCTAGGATGGAGGCTGGCTCATGCACAGGGCCAGGGCCTAGGATGGAGGCTGGCTCATGCACAGGGCCAGGGCCTAGGATGGAGGCTGGCTCATGCACAGGGCCAGGGCCTAGGATGGAGGCTGGCTCACGCACTGGGCCAGGGCTTCCACAGGTGCCCTGCAGGGTAAGACCTTCTTGTGCTGGCGCCACATCCCATGGCACTTCCACTTGGATCCACCCAGCTTGTGAGGGGCTGTGAGGAGACTGTGCCCAAGGTTCCAAAGGAACAGGCGAAGGATGCTGTCCTCAAGGGGCGCCTGTGTTCTCCACCACGGCAAAGAGAGCAACCACCAACCACGCTCCTGTTTCTTAGGAGTCTTGCTGTAGCCTCCTCCTTTACTGTAGTGACGAGGAAGTCACTGGCCCTGAGGAAGGCTCAGTGTGTGAAGCAGAATGGAGATTCTGACTCCAGTTCCTGGTCAGAGCTTGGTGGCAGGAAGGATGGAGTGACACCAGCCAGTTCAGTCAAACTGCAGGGTCCCATTCGGGAGATCCTGGAAGTTTCCAGAACTAAGAACCTCTGTCCAGACCAATGACCCCAGAGGGAGTGCCACTTTCTCCCTGTGTCTGCCGAGTGAGGGCCGGGCTGCGTGCCCAGAGGCAGCTGGGATGGGGTGAGATGTGGGTGTGGCCTGGCATGGAGGAGCGGACAGTTCTTCCAGTGGCCCGGAGCCAGCAGGGGCCATGCAGGAGGGAGGGACAAGAGGTGCTCGCCAGCCAGACCTGCATGGCCTCGGCGGTCACGCGGAACCTTACCCAGAGCGCGGGCAGTCTGGAGGAAAAACGTCTGAGAGTGCAGAAAAGACGCTTCCAGGCTTTCCCGGGGGGAGGCTGAGCCCGGGGTGCCACCAGGCCTGTGCTCCTGATGACTGGATGGGACAGGGGCCACTCCTGAAGTAGGCACTAGGCAAGGAAGGCAGGCTGAGAGCCCAGGGAAGCACTTTGGCCTGCCATGGATGCCTGTGTGGTACTGACTGCTAGTACCCTTCAAGTCTGCTCTCTCTTCCCAAGTTGTAAGGGACCCAGAGTTCAGCCCATGTCCAGTTCCGCAGTCCTCGCTGCAGCTAGCTCGGAGCCCACAGTCCTACTTAGCAGACGAAGGGAAGTAGTATGGACAACCTCTGCCCACTGCTCTTGAAGAGAGGGCTAGCCTCATCTTCCTTTTACTCTGCTTGCTAGCTGGCATGCGGAAGCAGTGGCCAGAGCTGGACCAACCATGCTGAACTAAGTGAGCATAAGCCTCGAGCTGGGGGAGACCTGGGGGTTCAGGGATGGCGTCCTGGCTTGCTGCACTTATACTTCCATTAGTTCCAGCCGCTGTTGCTTAGTACTGTCTTCCATGGCCCAGATCCAACTACAGCAGATGTTGAGGAGGGCCTGGCTGTGGGGCAGGTTTGGGGTCTCGGATGTAAACAAAGTCCTCCTGAAGGAGGAAATAGGCTTCTAGCTTGTTCTCAATGGAGACAGGCCAGGCACAGCCCTCTGCTGCCCTCATGGCCCCCAGGAGGTAAGTAACAGATGCCTCTCTATTGTCTTTGCCCTTGCACCACATTCTGCGTGCTCTCGGGGCCAGGACTGGGGGGCCATGTGGTCAGAAGAGGCACGAGGGGGCACCTTCCAAGCTAGAGCTGGAAGCAAGACTCCAGTCAACTACACAGCGGAAACAGAAGCATCAACCCTGAACCATTACCCGAGAACCTCCTCGGTAGAGCCGGCAGAGCTGATCAAAGGCTTGCATTTGCTGTGGATCCAGAGCTGGCTCGGAGTTTGCCTAGGGAATACAGAACGGTCAGATCAGTAATGACATGTCTGTCCCTGGGCAGCCTCTGACCTTCCTCACATGGATGAAGCAAGACACAGTAGTTCCCTCATGTGTCTGAAGAAAATGATAGTCCTGGCGGCTGGGAGATTTGTTAGAGCATCCAGAAGAAGCGGCCTGACCTTCTGAAGGCCGGCTTTGATGGTCCTCCCAGCCCGATCCTCTCTTTCCACACCATGACCTCTAAACTCCCCATACTCGTGACCTCCCTGAGGGCTTCTGAGCCGAGTGTCTTTGGTCCACCCACATCCGTCACGTAATGTGGCTCCCACAGACAGTCCTCCTTTGTCATTTGCTTGTTCATTATAACTTTGGCTACAAGACCAGTCTGCAGCAGCTTCAAGAGGGGATGCTGGAGCACCTCTGTCATCTGTCCGTCCACCCCGCAACCCCCAGAGCCTGACAGTGCTGCAGACCTTGCCTAACTCATACCTGGGGAGGGGAGAGGGTTCCAGGCAAGGAGCCCTGGGGGTCGGCAGCTATCTGAACAGTAGCACTCACCTCATGTGACCTTGTCATTTCACTCCTCTGACCCTGGAGGTGACCCTTGGGAGGTCACTGACAGTTAAGTTAGAGGACAGTCTGCCTCCTACTAGGCTAGGGCTCAGTCATGCTAGCTGTTGTAACTACACCTCAGAGAGGTTAGAGGTTTATCTTCGAAGTGTTTTGTATTTGTGCATTAGGCTAGCAAAAACTGCCTGTTGTTGCCTTACACTATGAACCTCTCAGGCAGAAAGGAAAAGGGTTTCTCAAGCATGCATCTCACATGTGTGACTGGAAGGGCTTCAGTGCTGAAGCATGTGGGGATGACAGTAAGCCAGAGGGTAAGCACTGAGGCCTGGAGCACAGGCGTGGCCCTGGCTGCTGCGTGTCCCCAGTGGGCCATCGCAGCATTCCTAGAAAGCACTCCATGACAAAGGTCCGGGCAGATTTACTTTCCCACTAGAATGCTATTAACTAGTTAATTAATTAATCTGGGGTATGTGTGCATGGTTCCTGAGTGGAGGTCACAGAACAGCTTACAGGAGTCCGTTTCATCTTTCTCCTGTGTGAGTCCTAGGACAGAACCCAGCTTTGTCAGGTTTGGGGGCAGTAGCCTTTCCCCGCTGAGGTGTCTCGCTGACCCAGATGTGAACTTAAGATGGCATGATATACAGAAACTTTAAGACATAATGTAAGTTGCCTTTGTCTTCTAGAAATGGCTCGCTTCTTTCCCTTAACATTTGCGCCTCCCCCAGGAGACAGCTGCCTGGGGCTGGAAATGGGAACAACACTGTGTGAGACCCGCCTTGCTGGCCCGCCTGCAGGTACCCCAGCTGTCTTCCAGCGGTAGGAAAGGAAGTCAGACACTCCAAAAGGCAGCCGCTGAAGAGAAGAGGGCTCACATCTCCCCAAACACAATGTCGTAGCTGGTCTAGCTTATGGCTACCTCCTCCTCGATGCACGTGACAGTATGGCTGGCTGAGGGGGTGGCTTGAGGAGGTGCAGAGAGGATGAGGAGGGTGGGGGGACCTCTTGGGGCTGGCTCTCATTTGGGCACACTCATTTCACTGGATCTTGCAGACAGATGAAGGAGCCCACTACAACCTGAGAGTGTTAAAGCTGCCTTGACACTTTTTAAGAACCACTTGGCCTCAATGCTATTTGGTAGAAAAAATGAGACTGGAAAGAGTATACATCACACGTCTGATAGATTTTATAAGATGTCCAAGGAGGTTCTAAGACCTGAAGTCTGAGAAACACACCAAGCCCGGCTCAAACCACAGCCCAGGGGGGAAATGCCACACCGTTCAGGCACAACACTGAAAAGCATGACCCAGCGTCTCTTTCAGATCCGTTAGCACTGGTGCCCAGGCTGGGTGCAGGGCAGGTGGGGAGGGAGGCACATGTCCTGGACTGGCCACTCTACACCTCTGCCACGTCCCATATAAGGGACCATCCCTGGTTATCGGGCGGCGAGGTGTCTTGGCTTCATCTCTGCTACTGTGACCGATACCCTGATGAAGAGCAATTTAGGGAAGATGGATTATGAAGTTTACAATTCAGGTTTCAGTCCATTATTTCAGTGAAATCAAGGCAGGAAACTAAAGCATCGCATCCACAGTCAGGGCAGAAGGCAGAAGCATTGTCCTTTCCTCCTAGAAGCTAGCTTCCTCCTCTCTACATTGCTCAGGACCCCCCTGCAGGGGAGGGTGGATGTGGGAGCAGTGGGTGTGGGTATGGGTGAGGGGTTGAGAGTGGTAGGGGAGTGTGGGGAGGCCCCGCTGGTCAGATGTTGCAGTCTACCATAACTTAGCAGCTCCCCCAGGGCTCAGCACAATATGGAGGACCCCCTGCCCTGCCCCAGCAGGGGGCTTCCTGCTCTTTTACCTAGCCTTATCTGGAGGATGTCTCTAGGCCCAGGATGCCTGACTTATCTCAAGGATGACCCTTGACACAGTTCCCTGCAATGCTCTTCCCCTGCAGCCTACATGGTGATTAAGTAACATGCTCCAGCTATTTTCATGGGGCCCTGCTGCCACTAATGCAGCTGTATGATAGGAGGGTGCCACCTAATGGAAAACAGGGTTTGCCCCAGCTACCACTCCAATGCTATGTATCTCCTCTACTCTGGAAAAGAGTTGAGCTGTCACTGAAGTCACATCCCAGGGGGCTATCTCTACTGTGGTCACAGGCTGTGTACAAAGCTTTCTGTTGCCGCTTCTGCCCCTGTGTCCTTGTGGACTGGTGGCCAATGACACTGAGGAAAAAAGAGTGGGTGTGGGTGGGTCAATTAACAATCAAGACACCCACAGGCTAACCTGAGATCAATTCTTCCTCTAGACTCTAGGTGGAGTCAAGCTGAAAGTTGAAACTAACACACAGGAGGGTTCAATAAGAACGGTCCAGCAAGAGAGGCAAACAAAGAAGGGACTTGTGGAATATTAGTCCAAGGTGTGTTACATTTGTTTGTGCTGTGGAGCATTTGTTTAATGATGCAAAGACGTGTTGCATTCTTTTATGTTGCACTGGCTTAACTCTGTGAAGCTGTGTTACTGTGCCTGTTTAAAACACCTGATTGGCCTAATAAAGAACTGAACAGCCAACAGCAAGCAGGATACAGGATAGGTGGGGCTGGCAGGCAGAAAGAATAAATAGAAGGAGAAATCTGGGAGAAGCAAGAAGACAGACAACAAGGAGAGGAGGACATCAGGGGCCAGCCACCCAGCCACACAGCCAGCCACACAGCCAGCCACACAGCCACACAGCCACACAGCCAGCCACACAGCCAGCCACACAACCAGCCACGACGAAAGTAAGAGATACAGAAATAAGAAAAGGAAAAAGCCCTGAGGTAAAAGGTAGATGGGATAATTTTTTTTTTTTTTTTTTTTTTTGGTTTTTCGAGACAGGGTTTCTCTGTGTAGCTTTGCGCCTTTCCTGGAACTCACTTGGTAGCCCAGGCTGGCCTCGAACTCACGGAGATCCACCTGGCTCTGCCTCCCGAGTGCTGGGATTAAAGGCGTGCGCCACCACCGCCCGGCTTAGATGGGATAATTTAAGGAAAGCTGGCTAGAAATAAGCCAAGCTAAAGCCAGGCATTTATAAGTAGTAATAAGCCTCCATGTGTGTTTTATTTGGGAGCCGAGTGGTGGGTTCCCAGAAGAGTCAAAGACAAACAACCAACAAAACTAGTCAAACACTAGGGAAGTCAGGCCATTTAAAAAAGATGCTGCGAAACCCAAGTCAACACACGGCAGAGCAGTGACAGCAAAGAAAGCTGTCCCCTACGGAGATACCTGTGCAAACTGGCATCAGATGTCAGGACACTACACTTCATGTAGAATCCTAAGATCATGACGGAAAATGCAGAGGTAGGGCCTGGCCACTTCCCCAGACCCTGTAAAAGAAAACCTGCATTGGCCGGGCGGTGGTGGCGCACGCCTTTAATCCCAGCACTCGGGAGGCAGAGCCAGGCGGATCTCTGTGAGTTCGAGGCCAGCCTGGGCTACCAAGTGAGTCCCAGGAAAGGCGCAAAGCTACACAGAGAAACCCTGTCTCGAAAAAACCAAAAAAAAAAAAAAAAGAAAAGAAAACCTGCATTGGACATTGTGATCTCTTAAGTTTCGTTACTAATTGTGCTTCTGTCCTTCCTCGTCCATCTCTTTCCCAACCTGCACCAGGTCTCCCTGTGCAGGCAAAGCTGGCCTCACACGTGCATTAGGCCCATCTCTGCCTCCTGAGCAGTTGGGACAGTGTATGCCACCTTGTTTAGATGAAATGGTCTGCTGCCAGAGAAAACGTGCTGAAGAGAACTGGTGGCAACTATTTCTGTGGGCTGAGACAAATGCTGGTTTTATCTTATTTCTCACAGACTTGCAGTTTTACAAAATCTAGATTTTTCTCATTTTATTCCAGCCAATATATTTTGGAAGCAATTAAGATCTTTTTTAGGAAAGTGAAGGTCATGTCACAGGGTAGTAGAATGCTACTGCTAAAAACAGAACCACGTCATCAAGCCCCTGGGAAATACTGTATAGCACGTGGGCCTATTCTGGGCATGGGATACACCAGTGCCTGCCCTTGGGAGTTTGCTGGCTGAGTCAGAAGTGCAGACGTCTCGGATAAGGTTCATTCCACAGTTTCTGACCCAGCGAGTCTCAGTCTTCAATGTGTAGAACTGCTCAGGGTGTTATTCAATGCTGACTCTTGATGACAGTATCCAATGGAGACCCCACAATATGGGGGGCTAGGGCAGGAGAACCGTTTGCTCTGAGCCAGCCTGGGATACATGGTGAGACTCTCTTATACATTTTAGTAATAAAAAACAGATGTGGGCTAGCAGGTATGGCGTGGGGTTTGAAGACACCCCACTTCAAGCAGCTGAGGGGGATGGTGTCTGCACTGTTCCTTATGGTGTCCTGATATTGACAGGGTACGTTTAGGTTATTAGGTGTCTTAGCTCCTGGTTC